AAGTTACATGTTTGATTATATCGTACTGTGTCTAGGATTGTATAAATATTACCTTTCGTATTTAATTATGCAAATTAAAACTTAAAAAAAACAACACATGGCTTTGCCTTTGGGGAAGGGAATATGATAGTATCTAGAGTCTCTATCTGTCTTGGGAATGGCAATAATACAGACCCACACAGCTGGAGAAGTGAATTGTTAAAACATTTGCTGCTTTGATACAACATTCCTGATTTTTTTAAAATCATACACTTTACTGTGCACTGTATGGTACTCCCTTTTTTTTTTAAATAAAATGGCCTGTTATGGAGCTACTGTAACCTGGCTTCAAACTTTTATTTAACATTCATTAAACTTAACTCTTTATAACACGTACCTCTCCTTAGCCCACACAGTCTCGGGTTCCCATAAAATGGAAGCATTTATCTTCGATATTCATAGGCATATAAGCAATATGCTTCATTTAGGCGTGAGATATTGTATATAACTTTGAAAACAAGACGTTTTGAAATGTTTTGCAGAAAAAAATACAATTCTTTATTTTTACAGTTGGTTTTGTCACCCAGTTTGAGAACCGGATTGAGAGTGAACTTGCTTTCATGCAAACTAGCAGATCCTGTAGAGGCCAGTCAGAGCTTGTCAGGAAACGGAAGAAAATAACATTGTTTGGCTTTTTAACAGCTGGAAGGATTTAAAAAGGTTGTACTGCATTGAAACGACATTATTATAAAAAAAGATGTTTGATGCAATATTTGTATTTTGTTAAATGTATTTAGATTGGTAAAAGAGAAACAGGTTTATTACTGAACTTTACAAATGGGCCTATATCTTCTTGATCTTTCTGTTTTATATTATTCTTCTTAGAAAAGTTTATTTAGGGGCCATTTTAGGAAAAAATCTGTCTGGCATCTAGATGCACTTTCTGTTGAATTAAGCCCCTTAAGTAGAAAAGGAAACAATTTTCATTGTTTATAATAAATTTTGAAAAATGCTCAAAAGAATAATAAACAGTTATTTAATCTAAATTGCCAACATGTTTTTATTACAATATACCCCATAGGAAAGAAATTCTAAAACTATAATTCTTGATTTATTGTGGTAAATACGATCTGTGATCTCATATAGCATTGGAGAGTAGCGATCACAATGCAGTAAAACCAGAATTCTCTCTAGCCAAAAATGATCTTCTCTGACTGCTGGCCCACTGAAGTTCTGTGTTCTCTAGCCAAAGAGGATACTCACTCTTTTTTGGGGAAAATCCCTGTAACTCTAAACTACAAAACACAATAGACCAGTGGTTCTCAGCCAAGGGTACATGTACCCCTATGGGTACGCAGAGCAGAGGTCTTCCAGGGGGTACATCAACTCGTCTAGACATTTGCCTAGTTTTACAATAGGCTACATAAAAAGCACTAGCGAAGTCAGTACAAACAAATTTCATATAATGACTTTATACTGCTCTATAGACTATACAGTGAAATGTAAGTACTGTACAATATTTATATTCCAATTGATTTATTTTATAATTATATGGTAAAAATGAGAAAGTAAGCAATTTTTCAGTAATAGTGTGCTGTGACATTTTTGTGTTTTTATGTCTGATTTTGTAAGCACATAGTTTTTAAGTGAGGTGAAACTTTTTTGGGGGGGACAAGACAAATCAGACTCCTGAAAGAGTTACAGTACTCTGGAAAGATTAAGAGCCATCACAATAGACCTTCTGTGCTTCCTGCTTCTCCACAATGGAGTCATGTAGACTCCTCAACTCAATTTCTACATATGGCAGTCAGACTTCTCAAGAATGACAATGCATCGAGCTTGTCCGCAGATTTCCTCAGAATGGGGGTGGTTCTGACATGGAGGTGTTTTTTCCCACAGAAATTAGTCAGCTTGACATGAACTTAGAAGGGACCACAGTCCAAAGCTAACAAAATGAGCTGTTGATTCCAAACATGGCTGTCTGCTTTAAAATGAAACCATAGTTTAACTGTATTAGAGGATAACTGTGGTTGCAACCAGGTCCTCAGTACAATTCTATTTGTAGTATAGATGAGATCCTACAACGTATGGGAAGATAGAGCCCAAAGCATGCTATGAATGGCTCTCCCTGACTTACTTCAGGAATGGAAGTCTGTGAGGGAAGAACAACAGAAGGCCCAAGATGCACATCCCAGATATAAAAAATGTGACTAGAATACCTTTGCACTGAAAAGTTCTCTGTCCAAAAAGCTTTACCAGCTGCTAACCCACTGCTAAGCCCACGCCCCCTTTCCTTTTGGTTATGCATGACTCCTATTCTAGGTTCATCTATTTGCTGCACAGCTATATTTGAGGAGGAAAAGGGATTTTTTTAAATTAGGGAATCTCAAACTTTTTCACAATATATACCACATCTTAAAATGTCTGTGGACTACATCTTTCTGCATACATGAGTGCACTGGCCACCTTTTCCCCCCACTCATGAACTTGTAACTTTGCTGTGATAACAGGAACTGTTTACATGGGAAAGTATAGTTATGAAAATATTATATTTTTTTGCTGTATTTTGATGTTACCAAGCCCCTGGAAACAAGGAAAGCCAGTACCAGGTGACCAGCCATAAACTAACAGAAATTCTGCTATTATGCACAATGTTAAGTGGAAAGCTGTTTGTGGGGTTTTGGGCTTCTGGAACAGGCTGATCTTTCCTCTCATTAAGTTGGCCTTCTGCAGAAGCTGTGAACTTTCAATGCTGAGAGTATCAAGGGGATTTTCTATTGGACAAGACACTTTGCTAGGTTAATTCAGATCCTTGTTTCACAATAACAAGGGTTTAGCAGCAGTATTAAAGAATTGATATACATGAAAATTGTATTTCAGTCCAAAAGTGTTGTACCGGCTACAGTTTCATAAGTAACAACTAGGGCTCTGATCAAGACCGGCTCCAGGGTTTTGGCCGCCCCAAGCAGCCAAAAAAAAAAAAAAATAAAAGCCGCGATCGCGATCTGCGTCGGCAATTCGGCGGGAGGTCCTTCGCTCCGAGCGGGAGGGACCGTCCGCCGAATTGCCGCCCAATAGCTGGACGTGCCGCCCCTCTCCGGCGTGGCCGCCCCAAGCACCTGCTTGCCAAGCTGGTGCCGGGAGCCGGCCCTGGCTCTGATCCTGCAAACACGTTGGCATGTGCTTAACTTTAAGTATATGAGTATTCTTCTTGGTAATCGGCCACCAGAAGGCTTACGCAGTGCTGCAGTTAACGAGACCTCCTGGCAATCACGTGCATGATTTTGAGGACATGTATTTCCAAGTTAATTACCAGATCAGCTGTAAATATACTATATATTGTGTATGCCAGCTATCCTTTAATTTTTTAACCTCTTTTGAAAAACAATTTGTTTTTAATGACAGTCACATAAAAGAAGCAAACATGCACCTGTGGTGCAGTATACCACAGTGAATCTTTCCTTTAACAAGACCAAATTTCATGTGCCTATAATGTCACCTTGCCCCACCAAAAAAAATAATGGACAGTAAAAAAACAAATGGTGACAATAATGCTGATTTTCTTAAACAATTTTAAATTTGTGGACACTTATTTCCAAGGGCCTCTTCATGCCTTAGCAAAAAATCAATGTTTATTTTAAAGACAATATGCCTGGAGCACTAAATTAGTTTTAGGATTAGGACAAAAACAGTATGACAGAACATTTAATTTAAACCGATTTCATTAGAGTACTTCCTAAACCGGTGTTTCATCACAACAATTCCCTTTCTCTCACACACTCCCGGCTCTCCTTTTTAAAGCTGCTTCCTTTAAATATAACACATTAACCAGATTGTTTGAGTGCCTCTCTACCATACACCTATTTTTAGCTGGATCTGTGTGCCATTCAATAATGTGAAAAGCTTGACCGTCACAACAGTGGTAGTCCTTATCTGGGGCCTTTATAAGAAGGCTCACAGAACCTAATTTAGCTCAGTACATTTGGTTCTTCATGGTTTCCAAGAGGATTGGGCGATACATTCTTTTAGGCTGCTGGGGAACAGACATCTAGGTATTTCTTCATTCTTTGGCTGCTTTAAAAGGCAGCTGTAGAGTGCTCCCCCAAAAAGAAACGACCGATTCCCCCATCAAGATTGGCGCGATTGCTGTGCCACCTTAAACTGCATACTGAGGAGGCCGTGTATTCCAGCTTGTATCTCATCGTGCTCCTGTACAGCAGAAACACCTTTGGGGCTGCCTGTCAAAATCAGATCCCCTTCTTCCAGGGTGATGATTTCACTGATGTAGCTGATGAGGTAAGGGATAGAGAAAATCATAGAAGAGGTTTCCCCTTCTTGCCTCAGCTCCCCATTTACCTTGAGCCAGATCTGCAGCTTGTGGGGGTCTGGTATCTTTTCCTTGGGCACAAAATCACTAACCGGACACGACGTATTGAAGCCTTTGGCTAAGGTCCAAGGAAGGCCCTTTTTCTTGCACTCAGCTTGGGTGTCCCTGGCTGTCATGTCCAAGCACAGGGCATAACCTGCCACGTGGTCCATAGCAGCCTTCTGGGAGACAGCGTGGGCTTTCTTCCCAATCACCACTCCCAGCTCCACCTCATGGTGCAGACTGTTGCAGTAGTAAGGCTTGATAATGGGGTCTCCTTCCCGGACATAGGCGGAGGAAGGCTTCAGGAAAAAAAGGGGCTCGCTGGGGAGAGCATTTTTCAGCTCCTGGGCATGCTCTGCATAATTCCTCCCTACGCAGATGATGTTTCTGCCCCATTCCCAGAACTTGGCCAAAGACCTGGAAGAAGCCATGATCCCTGCAAACTTCCCTCTGGGTCAGAGGATGAACTGTGACCAGGGCAGAACACTCATCTGACAGCTACGGCTGGCCAGAGGAGACACTTTTTTCTGCACCAATCCCATTGCTCTCAGCTGAAAAACCATAGAGTTGTATATGACTACATGGCTCCACCCCTGCTTTTCCCCCTGCAATCAGCGAATGCAATGCATTGCCAGCCACCCTCCTTGCTCCTTTATCCGCGCATTAGGACCTTAATTTCAAATGCGGTGCAAGGGGAACTTTATAGCTTACCCACCGCCTGAAGGAATACAATGCACCAGGGCAAGTGGCACGGGGCACCTGGTCCCTAATGCACTCAGCAGAAAGGTGAACAAAGTGGAGACAAGACCCCCCAAAAAATCAAAATCACAAGAGAAGTGAGTTGAACAGGCAAAAACCAGCAGGCAAAGCCCCCCCTCCCCCCGTCCTCAGGCGGCTGCTGCTGGGTCGGTGCAGGGCATTCACACGCAAGGGTGCAGCGATGCAATCGGCGGGCGTGCCAGGACCGTGGGAACGTGACCGAGGGACCTGCCCAAGGAGCGAGCCGCGTTTCTGAGCCTGCGGTGGGCACCGGGGAGCCGGCAAGCGCTGGGGCCCGGGGCGGCGCAGGGGAGAGCCGCCCCGCGGGGACTTCCACCCAGCCGGAGCGGTGCCTCCCCGCAGCCCGGCCCGGCCTGGGAGCCGCCCAGCTGGGGAGGGCTGGTCCTGCGCGCCGCGGCGGCGCGATTGGCTGGCGGCGGGTCAGGGAGGAACGGGAAAGGGGCCGAGGCGGCCGGGGCTGGCGCTTATGTAACCCCGCCGGCGGACGGGCCGCCCCGCCGCCCTGGACCATGGTCTGCGGGAGCAGGCGGTGGCTCGGCAGCGCGTTGGCTTGGCTGGGCGCGGCGGCGGCGGGGATCCGAGCGGGTACGTGGCTCTTGGCAGGCTCCGCGGCGGGGCTCGCCCCTGGGGACACCCCGGCCCCTTGCATTATTGCTGCTGCAATATTCCCCCCCATTGCTCAGTGCTCTGAGCATGGGCCTGCTGAACCCAGGGCTGTGAGTTCAATCCTTGCGGGGGCCATTTAGGGAACGGGGGTAAAAATCTGTCTGGGGCTTGGTCCTGCTGGGGGGGACTAGATACCTCCTGAGGTCCCTTCCCACCCTGATCTTCTATGATCTCCAGCTGGGGAAGGAAATGAGCAAGCAGTGTCTGAGCTGGGGGGTGGGGGCAGAGGGGGGGGGAAATGTCTCCCACCCCCCCCTTCTGTAGGGTGACCACACAGCAAGTGTGAAAAATCGGGACGGGGGTAATAGGAGCCTATATAAGAAAAAGCCCCAAATATCGGGACTGTCCCTATAAAATTGGGACATCTGGTCACCCTACCCTTCTGTGTGTCTGCTCTGGGCAGGGCCGGCTCCAGGGTTTTGGCCGCCCCAAGCAGCCACAAAAAAAAAAAACAAAAAACCGCAATCGCGATTTGCAGCGGCAATTCGGCGGGAGGTCCTTTGCTCCCAGCGGGAGTGAGGGACCTGCTGCCGAATACCTGGATGTGCCGCCCCTCTCTGGAGCGGCCGCCCCAAGCACCTGCTTGCCAGGCTGGTGCCTGGAACCGGCCCTGGCTCTGGGCTGCAGGAGAGATCCCTTTTGGGGCTAAACCAGCCCTGTCTAGTTGATCTGGGCCAGGGTGTGTCTGCTTCTGGGTGGGCAGTTGTGTTAACTTCAGGGCTGGGCTTGAAATAACCTTGAAGGCGACTGAACAAGGACAACAAGGAGTCTGGTGGCACCTTAAAGACTAACAGATTTATTTGGGCATAAGCTTTCGTTTTTAACCCACGAAAGCTTATGCTCAAATAAATCTGTTAGTCTTTAAGGTGCCACTGGACTCCTTGTTGTTTTTGTGGATACAGACTAACACGGCTACCCCCTGATCCTGAACAAGGACAATCAGGGGAAAACCATCTCCTAGTTAACAAATCAGAACCCCAGATGCTTCCCTTCCTGTTGGGCTGTAACCCTGGTTGTGACACCTCAGGATCTTACAGCTTGAATATTGTTCTTTCGCCGCATAGAGCTTGAGGGCTTTTTGGGGAGTTAACTCCATAGATTGACTGCACGTAGGTGACATTTCCCTTTTTCTTGTTTTTGGTTTCATTTCTGGCCTTCCTGCACCTGGATGATTGGGTGGGAAATGCTCCTGGAGTATATTTTGAAAACCCAGCCCTGACTGTTTTTATTGATAAACTAAAAATATTTTGTGGGTGAGGGGTTGTATTAGTAACTTTTAGAAACAATAACAAACGTAAACAGCGACAGAACTTCTTTGAAACTCTGATTTTAATGTGAATTTATCACCCTGAGTCCCAGTGAAGTAAGGAGCAGAGGATTTTACATGGGTCCAGTTGTAGGAATGACCCTAAACCATCTATTATTGACTACATTTGCTGTCAAACTTGAAAAGTGTACAGTATTTTATAAGCAACTCTGTCATCCCTTTGGATCATTAGGGACCCCACAGTTTGCCAGAACTTGAATGTTTGGACAGCGCTTTGAACATGTAAAGCGCTACATAAGTGCTAAGTAGTATTAGGGTAATTCTATTATTATAAAGGCATAATGATGTGACTGGCCCTTCCCAGATGTATTTCTGGGAGCTACTATGCAAATTGCATTAATCACTTTCGGGTGGTAGCAACACAAACAAGAGCATAAGTCAGATTGAAATTCTGAGAATCATGCACGCAGTATGACCAAAAAGATAAAATATCACAACTGATATAAGAAGTAGCTTGTTGTAGTCCATTCTACCTGGAGAAGAAACAGTGAATGCAGAACACAAGACATGCAGGTACCAGATTCAGAATATAAATATAGATTTCCTATCTGATCCCTAATAGTGTAGAAGGAATGGATTCATAACACCTCTCCATACAGAAATCTTGCATTAAACTCTCCTTCTTTCCTTCTTTGTCTCCTCAGCATACATCCATATGCTGGATAATGTGAAGTTAATGTGCAGTTTCCTATCTGCAAACATGCCCTTCTTCAAGAGCAGAATCACACTTGCACACTGAAGAGTGGTCCCAGAAGATATGACCAAAGAACTTGATCCCAAACCTGCTGAAGTCAATGGAAATCTTTCTGTTGACTTCAATGGGCTTTGGATCAGACCCCAAGTATGATAACATATTAAGGAACAGTATGAAAATAAAACCATTAGACCTTAATATTTTAGGGCACACTTTATTAAGGCTGACATAGTGACATTTGAAATAAATGCTGTGGTGTGGTACTGGATAGTGGGACCAGTTATGAGGCTGTTATGTTATGTTATGAGGCTGAATGACATCTTAAACAGAACTAGTTCTGATAGCATTGATGTGCACAGATAAGAAATTATATACCTGTAGACCAGATGAGAACAGCTCTGAAAACTAGGTCCGAGATACAGTTGGAAATGTGGAGGGCGTTTCAAAGCGCGTGCACACTTTTATTGTTTGGGTTTTTTTTTTCTTTTTTTCAATCACACTTTGGTATTTTAAAGGCAAGTATTTGAATGAAAACCCTCTCTCAAGGATCTGGTCAATAACTTGGGCCCAGATCCTGCAAATATTAATACGGTTACCTTTAAGTCAATGGGACTATTTCCTTACTTAAAATTTAAGCATGTGCATAAGTGTTTGCAGAGTCAGAGTCTAATTTAACTATAAAGGGGGTTGGAGAGGTTGGGGGAGATGAGGAAATGGTTTTACCTATTGAAGTACACCAGATTTGGGTTGGGGGAGAAAGATTGGTTTGTTTTTGGTGTTTCTTCTGCCGAGCAATGATAGATTTATTTTCATCAAAGGGATTTCCCTGCTCCATAACACCAATTGGCAGGTATGGATGCTGAAGTGTCTTCTGTGTCAAATACCTCTTATGTGTATGCTCTATTATGCTTCAGAGTTGGGGATTTTCTTTGCAGTATTGCATTTTAGATTCTTGCACTCTCTTCCTTTACTAATCTTACAGCTCTAATTTAATATGAGGCGGAAGGCAGATGTGGAGGGGAAAACCAAGGACTCTGGGCCAGATAAATAAGCCAAAGGGGATCTTCAGCAACAACTGTCTGCCTCGTAAGTTTTCCAACAGGTTATTACGCTTGCCAGTACTGAGATGGTTGCAGAGATTCTGATTGTTTCAAAGCGAAGCTTCGCAGTAGATTTAACATCTATTCTAAAGTTCTACAGGGCTTGTGTTTTATAAGCTATAACAAGACTACAAGGCCTTTTAAAAATAAGTCTCTCCTCAAACATGGACATTACTGAGCTGTGTGAGAGGCTTGTTCAGAAGCTGCCTTGATTGCAATTTCTGTTTCCAGCTGTGCCTATGGCACTCCAGGAAAATTACGATTTGCCAAATCTCCGAAAACACTGGGCTGGAGTCCTGAGTAAAATGAAACACCAGCCCCTTGTGTCAACACAGTTCAAAGCAGCACGGTTGTCTCCTTTGCTGTGCATCAGTTCTCTCTGGCATTAGGACAGCCGGTTTCTGTTCCGGGGAGATCGCCGGCTGAATTCCCATATGAGGCTGTTTGATCGGGCGAGTGGGTTCCAGCCTTGCTAGGGCAGTTCTACCCCACTGGCTTCATCAGGAGCCAGATCAGACCAAAAGTGCATTCATCTGGAGCATTTGATATAGCCATGGGCAGACTCTATGTTGGGAGAGAAGGGCATTTCATCTTGGCAAGCACAACATTGCCAATTGCAAACAGACAAAAATCCTGTTGGGCCTCAGAAAATCATGAGACTTTTTTTTTTTTTAAAGCTAAATATTTGGGGGTTCTTTTTATTTGGCTTCTGAGTTCTGAGCCTTTAGGGTGCACGTGTGTCATCAGGTTTTTGCCTACAACGTGGGGGCTAGAATCCTAGTTTAAAAATGCAAGCTGAGATTCTCACACCATCCCCTACCTCCAGGAGCTGGGGCTTTAAGAAAAATGCCAACTAGTGATACAATTGCAACAGTTGGCAGCTCTGCAAGGGAGAAACTGCCTGAAAAGTCTCACAGGGTTGGGACAGAAACGGGTTCTGCTGCTTAGACAAAGAGCTGCTGCTGTCAGCAGGGTGAGAGACACTTTGGACTAAATGGGTCAGCAGTTGCCCTAAGGAACTTCAATTTGGCTTCAGTTTTTGTCACGCTAACAGAGTGGGGGACTGGTCCTTCTTGAGATGCAGTGACCTACTTAAGGAGGATCGTGTTAATAGACCTCCAAGCGATGTAGTGGATCAGTAGAACTGCTCCCTCGCTGAAGCTGTTTCTTGTTGCTTAAAATCCCTATTGACGCTTGTAGCTGCTGTTAGTCTCAGCTGAGGTACTGCATTGTCCTGCCTCTTCCCTTTAGAGGCTTTCAGCCCAGGTGAGGAAAGAGGATATGGGGTGGGTGTAAGATGCTTGGGGGAAGGAACAAATGGGGGGAGAGAAGGTCTTTCATTGAACTCATCTTGTAAGAGCTGGCTATGAAGTGTCGTAGGGGGTCTGTTTCCCTACACTTCCTGTTGGTGCATTGTGTCTCTAAAGTCCTAATGTCTCCTGCAGTTCTAGGGGAGTGTGTGGGTTTTTTTTAGAAATACTTTAAATGTCCTGGGGGGAGAGGGCGGGGTTCAAACTGTGTGTGCGTGAGATTGTGGCTTAAAGGCTTTTTCATGTGCCAAATGCTCATAACACCGACGAAGCTGGATTGTAACTCTAGGTCTGGCGTGTCTCCACTGTTGCGATGCCTTTGTACTGTGCATCCCAAAGCCTGTTTAGAAACCTGTTCCAGAAACTTAGATATTTCTTCTTTCCTATTCTCCTGTCTATGGTGGGTGAAATTATCCCACGGACAGAAGCCAGCACAAGCCATATTGTGGGGAAGCGGCACAGTCCAGTGGCGGCACTGGGTTCTATTCCTACCTGTGCCACTGAGCTGCTGTGTGACCTCAGGCAAGTCACTTCCCCTCTCTGGGCTGCCACCGTGTCAGTTTAGACTGTATGTGCCTTGGGGCAGGGACTGTCTCTAACTCTGTGTGTCTGTACCGCACCCAGCACAATGGGACCCTAGTCTTGCATCTCTCAGTGATTCTGTAATACTAATGTTGTACTGGCCCTCTCCATAGAGGTGAATTTCATCCTGGACAACTGGCTTACGCAGAGCAAGATTTTACAGGCTACAGTAATTCTCCTGAATGGAGTGTCTGTCTGTCTTTTTTTTTTTTTTTTT